AATTGACCTAAATTTTTATTTAATATCTTTGAAACAGCTCAAAAAAATTGAAACTAAAAAATTATTAAGTGTTTTAATTTAAAAAATAAGTTTAATGCAAAAAAATTATCAAAAATAAGAGATTAAATTTTTTACAATTTTTAAACAATTAAATAAAATTTTTTCTAAATAAAAAAAACTAAAAACAAGCTTGAAATTCTTTTTTTTAATAAAATAACCGAGATATTAAAGAAATATTTTTTCTTATTGGATTCCAATTTCTATAATCGGTTAAACAGCGATTTTTAAGCTTGAATAATTTTTATTTATCATCCAGTACGCCCGATGATTTAAAATCAAACTCTTCTAAGAATTTAAGGTTGAAAATATATTAGAAAGAATTAATTTTTCAATTTTCAAGATTTAAATTTAATTTTTCACGTCCTAAATTAGAAATTTAAAAAAGATTGAGGTTTTTTTTCAACAAAGTTTTATAGAACATCCGAAGTTTTACAATTTTAATGAGATAGTCGTGTCAAGCTTCACATAAAAAAATTATTCGCTCACCCACTTTGGAGTTCGACCTTTAAAAATGGATCGAAGAGATACACTCACGGAAATAGGTGATTAAATCTGAATATCAAAAGTCATCTCGAGAGCTTCTAAGTATCGAATTTTTTTTTAAGCTCGAATAATTTTTAAAATAAACTCGAGCGCTAAAAATGAATACAAAAATTTTAGCCTTGACATTTCTATCAATAGCGCTCGGTATCGTGGCCGGAAATTCCGATAATTAAAAAATGTCTGCTTTTTACGAGGAAGTTTATTAAAAATAATGTATAATAATAAAAAAAGGGATACTGAAATACGTCACATGCAGAGATTTCGTTGATTTATTTTGTTTAGCGAAACTGATAGAAAACCGATAATCGGGTAAAAAAGCTCACAAAACATCAACTATTAAAAATGAAATTTTATATATACGTATTATATATAGCTTACGCGACTTGGAGTTTAAAAAGCGCGAGTATAAAAAGTTATATATAACGATAAAAATAAAAAATAAATTAATTTGAAACCTTATATTAAAGTGTTTAAAATAAATTTTCTTATGATAATTTTTGAATAAAAATTTGAAATCAGCTTGATTAATTAATTAAAAAACTTTTAAGTTCAACTTTAACCTCAGATAACTTTTGAAAGAGTAGATTTATCAAAAAAATTACAATGACCTATTTGTAGAGCGTTCAATTCTTTACAAAAAATATTTTGAATTCTTACAAGTATGTCCAGCAGTTTATCAGTTAAAAAGCTTGAAAAATTTTTTAATTATTAGTATCTCAAAAACGAACTCTCTGGTAGTGAGATGATGTAGCGACCATGCGCCACCTGTTGGAATTTTTTATTACTATTAAAAAAAATTATATATGGCCAATTCTCATATTAGGCTATATAAAAAAATATATATGGACATTTTAGAGCATATGTAGCCATATTAAAAATATTTTGACGCTTAATTTTTACAGAATTTGACCTTGTATCTCGTGAACTATTAACATTTTTAAAGATATAAGTTCACCCTGGCATTACACTCATCGAGACCTTTCATTTGAGTACCCACATCAATTTTTCATATATCTCATATATTTTTATATATATTATATATATGTATATATGAAAAATATATCAAAAATGCATGTGGGTACTCAAATTAAAGCTCTTGATGAGTGTAACATCATAATGAGCTTATATCTTTAAATTATATAATATATCAAAAATACATGTGGGTACTCAAATGAAAGCTCTTGATGAGTGTAATATCGGGATGAGCTTATTTTTTCAAAAACTTCGGTGCAATTTAACAAAAGTCATTATTTTATTTATTTATAGTTCACTGGAAGATTGCTAGTATAATTTAAAAAATGAAAAGAATGTATAAATAAATTTCTGTTAAAAAAGATGGCTTCAAAAGATAAATTTATGAAAAAATTTTATTAAAAAAACCTCTTAATATTTAATTGAAGCAGAATAATATTATTCTGTGATGTAATAAAGCATGTAAATGTCAGTAAAGGAAAATAGTGATGATAATCGTGGGTTTTAAGCATTCGGTTACCCAAATTCGCGAGGTGTAGTACAGCAGGGGCAACCACATCCTCGTTCGCATTGGAACTAAGATAAATATCTGAAGAAACGAAGCAAAGAGCGAGAGATGAATAAGATAAAGGAGAAGTAGGGTCTCGAGTTATGTATCAGCAACCCCCCGAAGCGAGCTCCGATTGGCCGCTAGAGAACACGCCCTTAATTCGCCCACGTGGTCTCCCCACCCCTCGGAGCCCCAGGCTCCGCCCTGGAGAGCCACCCCCGCAGATCCACTCCAGGACGGGAAACGGAAACTGGGTCAACGCGAGTGTGTCCCGGCCGATACGAGTCAACCCGAGACTCGAGACTCGAGATCGCCGAGCTTGAGTCGCTGCTCGCAGTCCCGTGGAAAACACCCCCAAAGCCCGTCCGTCGTCACCCACGCAGTATTTGGCTCTCGCTCCACTCGCTTACTACCTTTTAAACGTTCATTATTTTTAACTCACGTTCGCTAAGGACTTCCATCGTCGTTAACGACTACAACTTCGTTTTTGGTAAGTTTTTTTATAATTATTAGTAGATATTTGCTTTGTAGTTTCATATTTTGATTTTTTTTATTTTTTTAAGTAGAAAATTGTTGCGTAAAAAATTGAGAATTTGTTCGAAGTTATCATTAGAAGGATTAAATTATTTTTTTTAAGTGAAATTTTCTGTAAATTTTATTGAGAAAAAAATTTTCTGTCTAGGGAAGGATCTATTAGTTTAAAAAAACAATTTTATTTATTTAATTTTTTAGAAAAAATGTTAGAAGAATTATTTTAATTAATTTGAAAAATTTTTTAGATCAAGCTATGAAAAATACATTCAAATTGTTTCATTTGATTATTTATAAAAATTTTTTTAGTAAATTAAATAAATTGTATAATTATTTTAAAAATAAAATTTTAATTTTTTTATCGGTAATTTTTAAATTGAAATTTTTTTTAATTAAATTAGATAAAAAATTACGATCTTATTTAATTGTTAGTTAAATTTAAATTTTATTTGTAAATAATTTTATAATTTTAATTTGTGAAAATAAATTTTTTATATAAAAATCTTGAATAAAAAATAAAGAAGTAATTTTTTTTTTATATTTTAAGATGATTTTTTATAAATAATAATCAATAATTTTATAATATATAATTATTTTATTAGAAATATATTTTTTTCTCAATATAAAAAAGAGCATAGATTAAATTTTTTATTTTAATTATATTAAAAGAGTTATTAGAGACTTTTATAATTTGTTTAATTGCTTACTGATAATTATTCTACTAAAAAATGAGTAAAATAATATTTTACAAAGTTTTGCTAAATTTTAATGAAATTATTTTAATAAAAAATTATTTAAATTAAAAAATTAACAACATTCAATTAAATAAGTAAATTATCAAGTAATTAATAAATATCTAATATAATTATTATTATTAATTGCAATTAATCAATAAGCAATTGAAAAAACAAGTCGACAATTCTCCAATAGATAATTTTTCCAAGTAGAAAAATCATTACATGGTCAGACAAACACAGACGATAGACTTGTACTACTTGTTAGATAAAGATCTTTAAAAATTACCGCAATTAATTAGATGATTAGACAAAAATTTTTAAAGATGCATAATATTTAATTGCGATAATTTTTGTGATAATTCACAAGTATCACTAAAATATTTCACAAGCCATTATCATGTTCATAGAAGAAGATTAAATAAAAAATAAAAGCAGTGAAATTTATTGAGGAAAATCAAACGCTGTCCATGTTTCTTTGACCGTGCACCTCTTGCTGCTCAGTTTGAGGACAACCGAGAATAACTGAAGCACATTGTTATTGTTGATTGTTGTAGGGAGCCAAAGCAGGGGCACTACGACAGAGACATGGACAATGTGCAAATGATCGGCACTAAAATTACTGCCATCAAGGATTACTTATATGTAAGAATATCGTCATCATTTTTCTCGTTATCATTTTCATTATCATTATCATTATTATTGTTATTATGATTTTTTAGTTGTTATTATTATTATTAATATTATTATTACACTGTAAAAAATTGGGAGCAAAATATTTTTATTAAAAATTTATTATTTACATTTTTATTAAAAATATTTTTGTCATAAACCTGCGAAATAATTTTTTGTAAGGATATTTGTCAAAAACATTCATTAAAAAAATATTTTTACCAAGAAATATATTAAAATTTTTTTAGTAAAGTGATTTTGTAGCAAATTTAAATTTTAATCCGAAAAACATCCGAATTTTTAGACAAAAAAATTTTAATTAGCTGAAAAAAATTTCAAATGTAAAATTACTAACAATTTATTTCAAGTTAAATTTTATAAATATTAATTATACTTTGGAACATTGCACCAAATTTTTATAAAGATTATTTTATTTTATTTCAAAGTTTTGTTGATAAATTCTGAGGTGAGAAGTTAAAAATAATAAATTATTAACATTACTACGTTTAATTAAATAAACATTCTTTAATAGAATTGCAAAATATATTATTCGAAAATTTAGCATTTCTAATTTAAAATTAAATGAATAATTAAAATTTATTAAACTCCTTTTTTGTTCAAAATAACAATTTAATTTATTCTAATTATAAATTCTATAAAAAATTCGTCAATTTCATATTTTTAAAAATGTATTTATTAAATTCTTTTTATCAATAATTTTTTATTAAAATTAATATTATAAAAATTTCATAAATGCGTTTTTAATAATATAAATAAATAAAATCAAAAGTGAAAAAAATCTATTTTTTACAACCCTGGTTGTAAAATCAATAAAAAAAAAAAAAAAACACTCCGTAAATTTTTTACAGTGTATTAATATTGTTATTATTAAAAAAACTTATTAAAAATTAATTGCAAATTAAAAACGATTTTTTTTTTTAATTACAGAACTTTGCGCGAACGCATTCACCAACAAGACTAATGGGTTCCGAGAACGCATACGCGCTGAGCAAGGAGTCAGCGAATCTGAAGTACTCCGGTGAGTAAAAAGCCCAAAAAAAAAAAAAAATTTTAATTAAAAACCCAGCAGGTGTTTTTTTGTTTCCCAAAATTTTGATCTCGAGCACAATATTGTGATTTAACACCAGAGAAATGAATCCGGACTTAGGATGTCACAGGGGTGCATAATAATGGAGGATTTCGGGTTGGCTCGAGGCACGTCGCGTGAGTACTCGACGAGTGGCTCAGGACAGATTACACGCCGCAGGGGACTTTGTAACGCTGATGTTAGAGGAAGAAGGGTTTACTACACATCTCCGGGCCCTGCTATTCCAGCAGGGAATACACTCGCGTTATTTGCTTTTTCACAAGTGTCAGCCCACTGATAACGGCCCGTCGGCGGCCGACGTCCCACAAACTCTCCGCTATTTGCTATTCAAATTACCGGAATCAATCTTTGGGTTCATATTTAATAAATTGTCCTAGCATATGTTTTATGATTCAAATTAGGTGGGTTATTTTTTGGAGAAGATGTTTTATTTTATTTGGAGCTTAAATTTGAAAATTGAAAGCAATTGTTTGGTAAAATTAATTGGTGAAGATCTGCTCTGTAAGAATGAAATTAGGGTCGGACGCAGCTGGTGCTTACAAGACTACCGATTTATCAAATCGACTTAAATGGATGTCCAGTTATTTTGGTACAGCATGAATCTAGATTTTAAATTGTTCTTGAAGGAAATTTAATTGAATATTTATTTTCGGAAGAAAAAAATTTTTTTAATTTATTTTGAAGCTCTAAATATTAATTTTGGATATTTATTGACTTAATTTTTTTGAATTGAATTTTTTTAAAGGATTTATTAAAATTAAAACATAAAAAAAATATTTAGTGAGTATACTGATTTGGTTTTTAAATTTAATAGAACAATTTTGATGGAATATTAATTTTACAAATTTTTATAAATGCTTACTGAGTTAATTTTTGAATTGAAAAATTTTATAAAGGCTTTATTAAAATTAGAACAGCCTTACTAAAATTAGAGCAATTTTGCTTTATTAAATAATGACTTTTGGTAAAACGCCACTGTACTTTCTTAAATATTGACGTTTTTAAAGATATAAGCTCATCCCGATGTTACACTCATCAAGAGCTTTCATTTGAGTACCTACACGCATTTTTAATATATTTTTCATATATACATATATATAATATCTATTTTAAAGATATAAGCTCATCCTGATGTTACACTCATCAAGACCTTTCATTCGAGT